TACTGCTGCACGCAAAGATCCTCTCTCTTCAGAGCGCTCACTCCTCACAGCAACCAAATACACCCAAAACTCCCTGGTTTGAGTCTCCAGAAATCTATCAGAGTGAGTGCTCCTCTCTGTGTTTTTAGCTTTTAGTCTGAGCCTGCTGAGTTTAAACCACTTCCTGTTCCTCATCAACTCAAAGAAACAAATTGAGTCACAAACAGCATTAAGGAGATTTTTCTTTCGTTTTTCATAACAGCTCCGGAAACGACTGAAGCTTTCTGTGAGAAACCTGAATCTCTTTACCTATATCCCATAATCCCTGGAAACACCTGAACCCCCCGATAAGATGCTAGAACACAAATGACCCTAATGACCCTAAAGATACCTGATCCCAGTCAGAGGTACCAAAAATCACCCCAGGAACCTTAAACCCCTCAGAGATATTTAAAATCCCCCTCAAGGAAACCCAAACCTCAACATAGAGTGGTGCTAAAAGGATTTATCAGCTACTGATTAAGCAGGTTCTCCTACTTAGAAAGATGAAGTCTGTCATTTTCATCATATGAGAAACTATGAGAGAAGATGGGTAAAAAAAAAAAAAAAAAGGAAATTAGACTGCAGTATTTTTAAAGAATTTATCTGGAGGAAAATATTTTATCAATAACAGAAGTAAATATTTTTTTATCAATAACAAAAGTTCAACTCAATAATGTATCTTAGTCTGTGTTGGCAATCACTGAGGTCAAACATTAGCTGTCAGTCTTCTTTAGGCTTCCTCTCTCTGTAGCTGATTACGACTCACTAGAGCGGTGATGTTTATGGGCTGTCACTATCATGATTTTACTAAAGTTCAGACCCAAATGCAAAAGACCAAACAGGGAGACCAGGAGAAAAGGTTTAACAGGTTTTATTAAAGAGATAATGCAGAGAGAAGTGTTGCTCTGAACAATGCTCAACTGGAACTGAAAAGTGAGGGGAAGACACAGCGGTTAGTTCAGGCTCAGTGGGAAAATAGATTTTTGAACTTGGAGAAGAGGATTTGGTTGCTGACTTACGTTTCCAGAGAAGTTGTTGAATCTTTGACTCCAGTCCGTATTCTGCAGTTCCAGTGTTTGTCTGATTCGGTGGAGGGCGGAACAGGGTTTACCCAGAATGCGGTTGTTTGTAGGTGAACGGAGAGGCTGACTGTTACTCCGATTTCCTGCGGTACTTGAACGGGTCGTAATGGAGATGAATCCTTTTCTCTGTGTGAAGCTCAAACGATCTCTTGGGGAAAGTGGATCCAAACCTCCTGTTTGAACCCCAGCTCAGTTTAAAGCTCAGTCGATCCTTCCAGGGAGAGAAGGTCCAAAAAATCCTGTTAGCAGGATGACTTCCTGCCCAGAGGCAATAGACAAAACAATATTAAAACTCAGGTTGAAAAGAACTCAGTTTGACTTAGCAAAACTCATCTTGGCTAGAGTACCCAAAACTGGCAAACACTCTGGCGTCGAGGTAGTGGCAGTCAGCAGCTTAAGGACGCTCCGTTAATGAGGAAACCATCAGCAGGTGTGTGAGGAGGCGGACCAGAACCAGGCGCCTCCTGGTGGAGGAAGGGAGACAAATACAGAACACAAACACACAGACAGGAGTCCTGACAGTCACTGGGAAACAGAGACTTTCATCTCCCTCAACAAATGTTCTAAAGGCTTGATGTCTGGAGCTTAGTTCAATGCAGGACCTTAATTGTTTTATACAGAAGAATGTGTTTGGCATCATTGTCCTGCTGGAAGAAGCAGCCACGTTCCATCTCCAAGGCTGGACGGAGATCCTGGCTTTAGCTCTCCTAATACATGGCCCTGTTTATTCTTTCCTTTCCTGTTCCCTATGGAGAAAAACAGCTCCAAAGTTCATGTGCCCCTGTCACACCTTGACGATTTAGATCAGCGTATGCCTGACATATGAAAAATCTAGCAAAAACGCTATTAAATGTTGGATAAGTTATGGCTACATTTTGTATAACTTATGAGCAAAATGAAGTATGCTGAAGCACACATTGAGATATTTTGAGCCTGTATGCCAACATGTGCCATACGTGAGGCATAAGTTACAGGTTATCCAATCGCTGACATACGTTAAGTGTAAATTACTCATAAGTCGTGGCGTCCAGCTTATCCTAAACCTATGAGTAACTTGTGTATAACTTATGTGTAACTTATCAAGAACTTCTCTCTAAAGCATTTCAATGTATTTGATGTGTTCCATACGACCGTTGGACGTTTTATTAACTTCCAGCTACTGTATAATGGCGTATTTGCAGCGTTCTGGTATAAAGGGGGTTCACAGGAGGAAACCGTCAGTTCTTCTTCAGACTTCATCGCCATCATAGGGTGAGTGAGAAGGTGAGTGATGGATCCTCCCTGCGTTCACGCCCACGACCAACACACTTCCTAGCAGAAATGCCGCTGAATCTGCTGTGATTGCAAACCTTCTTTCTTTTTTTCTTTTTTTGGCAGACAGTAAACAGCAGCCAAAATAATAGCAGACCAGATGCCCCCCTCGTTACACTGGCCTGTGCATCATTTCATGAGCATTACGTTACCCTGCGTTATGCATAAGTAAGGCTGTCATTGGACATAAGTTCTGGACTTATGAATACTTTATGTATGCGCCCAAGATTGAAAAAATACATAGAAAGTTCTGCATATGCCATCGTTTTAGAAGATTCTGGGATGTCAGGCATACGCTGAATAAATCGTCAAAGGTGACAGTGCTCTGACATGGAGCCTTGGATCGAAGGAGAATATCAGTGGTCTGGTACGTCTTCCATTTTCTTCCATTTGTTCCCACAGTTGATGTATCACACCAACCTGTTCATGTATAGATTTGCTCCTCCCATCCTGGTGCAGGTCTGCAACGTTCTTCCTGGTGTCCTGGCTTTAGCAGCTCTTTGGTCTTGGCTGTGATGGAGTTCGAAATCTGACTGTCTGAGGGAATGGGCAGGTTTATTTATATAGATAATGATTTCAAACAGGTGCAACTATACAAAGGTAATGACTGAAGCTTCTTACATTAGAAATTATAGGCCTATGAGGGTCAGACATCTTGTTCGCTGGTGACTAAATACTTATTTCCACCATAATTTACAAATAAATTCTTTAAAAATCTTAAAATGGGATACCTGAATTGTGTTTCTCTCATTCTTGAAGTGAATTATTTATTAATGATATCAGTGACCATCTACAAGTGTTTATGATTTATACAATGTTGGGCACGTTAGTTTGAAAAAGTAATGTTATAGTTACTAGTTACTTCTCCCAAAAAGCAACTGAGTTACTGAGTTACTCCACAATAAAAGTAACTAGTTACTAGTAAAAGTAACTATTGAGATACTTTTGCGTTTCTCGCCCCCGTAACCCTAACCACCCAGCCCCCACCTTCTTGCCGTATGTTTCCAAAGCCAGCTGAATAGAGCGGACGACAAAGACAAGAACCTGCAGAGAGTTTAGCATTTATTGCTTAACATGGGGGGGGGGGGGACGCTATCTGATGCGGTGTAATTATCATCAGGCTGCATTACTCACGGGTGTAAAGTTTTTTAACCGGGCGTTCAGATCTGGTGAGTGTATGAAATTAATAACTGGGGATGTCTAATTCTGAAATCCTGTGTTTGGGTTGTTATAGATACTGCAACTATCTATCATCTATCTATCTATCTATCTATCTATCTATCTATCTATCTATCTATCTATCTATCTATCTATCTATCTATCTATCTATCATGAAAAAAAGGTTCAATGCCTGGATGCGCCATAATTTTCTTCAACTGAATAAAAACCAAACTGAAGTAATAATCTTTGGACCAATAGAGGAGAGATCTAAAGTTAGCACACAGCTTCAGTGGCTTCAGCTAGTAACCACTGATCAGGCCCGAAGTCTAGGTGTAGTGCTGGATTCAGACTTGAACCTCCAAAAGCATTTAAAGACAATTACAAGGTGGGCTTTCTATCACCTGAAGAACATTTCCAGGATTAAAGGACTAATGTCTCAGCATGATCTGGAAAAACTAATCCATGCGTTTATTTTTAGTCGAATTGATTACTGCAACGGTGTTTTCACAGTTCTGCCTAAAAAGTGGATCAGACAGCTGCAGCTGATCCAGAACGCTGCTGCCCGTGTCCTCACTAAGACTAAGAAAGTAGAGCACATCACCCCAGTTCTAAAGTCCTTCCACTGGCTCCCTGTATCTCAGAGAATAGACTTTAAAATCCTTCTGTTAGTCTATAAATCTCTGAATGGCTTAGCACCTAAATACATCACAGACTTGCTATCAGTGTATCAACCTTCCAGACCACTCAGGTCTTCTGGCTCCAGCCTGCTCTGCAGACCTAGAACCAGAACTAAACATGGAGAAGCAGCATTTAGTTCCTATGCTCCACTTATCTGGAACAAACTTCCAGAAAACTGGAAAAGTGCAGAAAGCCTGAGTTCCTTTAAATCAAGACTAAAAAGACATTTGTTTAGGATTGCCTTCCACTGTTCTAGTTAAACAGTTCAACTAAAACATCATTAGTTCAACTTTTTTATTTTCTTTAGTTTAACGGTTTTTAATATTCTTTTTTGTTTCTGCATTTTTTATTTTATTTTATTTGTTTTTTATTTTTTCCTACTTGCTTTGATTCTGTTTTATCTTTCTGTATTTTAATCATGTAAAGCACTTTGCATTGTCTTTGTACTGAATTGTGGTATACAAATAAATTTGCCTTGCCTTGCCTGAGTAACGTGCAGTAACGGGTTGTCGGAAATAGTAACTGCATTATAGTTACAGTAAGAGTAATAATTTTGATTACTCGTTATTAAAAAAAGGTAACAGCATTACGTTTAATGCCGTTACTCCCATCACTGGATTTATAACTACTGTTACAGGAAAGATACAAAGGAAAACACACACAATTACAAAAGCAACAGAGGAATCAATGATTGCATATATATTGCTGCTGTGAACAGCAGAATTTCCACATTGTGATACAATAAAGGGATTTTCTATTCTAAAAATGATCTGTTAAATCTGGGACCCAAAAACCCGGAAGAAAACTGGATAAACTTTCTAAAATATTCCTTAACACTCTTAGAGGTCCTGAGCTTAACTGAAGTTATTTCAGTCACTCATGCAGATCCAGAGCTGACTGCTGCTGTTATGTCGTGCATGCTAGCAGACACATCAGAATACTTTCTATGGAGTCGTGTTAGATGGTGAAACATGAACAGCTGTGCAACATCTACAGGATTCCAGTGATGATCGCTGGGTCAGTAAGGGGACCTGGAGCAGGATGGTAGACTGAGCTGTTTGAGGACCAGGAAACTGTTTATTAAAAACTTCAGAAGGAGAGCTATTTCTTTACATCTGCATTTCTTGCTGTTTGCTAAACAGATGATCAAAACAATATTATTCAGTCCAAAAATTTAAAATGATCAGAATCTTATTTTTTTCCAAACTGAAGAGTCAAACAGGTGGGTCAAATATCAAAGGTGATACTGGAGGAAGCTCGATCCAGGAAGCCTGGATTGATGGTTCATCAGGCGTTTCCAGGAGCAACAGGGTTCCATGGTTGTTTCCGTGGAGCTCCATCCTTGTCCTTCTTTTCCAGAGGCTTCAGGTGAGAGGACAGAACCAGACCTCTGAGGGAAAGAAACAAACATTATAAACCTGGAGACAGAAAGTTGCTTAAAGGAGACCTTTTTTATATACCCAGCATGCAGGACATCCTGGGGTGTCAGTAGAAGGTCGAGGAGATCTAATCTAACATCCGGGTGTCATTTTCAAAGACGAGAGGAGCTGCCTGAAGCTCCGCCAGCATCGACATGAAGGAGCTATCGAAGGCTTAGACCAAGATAAAGGGTTAAATCAGGATTTTACAGATATCCTGCATATTTAAGCCTTGACCAGATTTCATGCAAATAGTAACACATGAGTTACCATGGTGATTTAATCTGTGCAGCTAGCTTGGTGCAGACCAGGTTAACAGCCAGGCTAACTAAGCCCTGCTGCCTTATCTGCTCAGTTAGCGTCACCGATCAGTATAAGTTTAATTGGTTCTGTTCCCTTATCTGCATGTTTGGTACTTTTAAACCAGCCATTTATATTGTTATATAGTGAGTGAATGAATGAATGAATGAATGAATGAATGAATGAATGAATGAATGAATGAATGAATTGGAATTTAGTTCAGTCCATTTTTTGACACACAACAATAAATCAATCAACAAAATACACACTAAAGAGACTAGTTAACATCAACTAAACCCAACACCAATTACCAAACTAAATAAATTTACCTTAATATAAATAGAAACAAAACCACCAAATAAACCTGTCTGAATGTACAGCCAGAGAAATGACATCGATTAATGTATTATCAAACCCCCTCTCCCTCAGATTTCACTTAAATTAACTTGAAATAAACTATCCTTCCTACTAGACTTGTTTTTTATCCAATATTCACACACACAAACTATATGTGTATTTTTATGTATACACATGTATATTTTTATCCTGTGCGGGCAGTGCTTTTATTTTATTTTATTTTATTTACTTTTATTTATTTGTATTTATTTTAGGTATTTTATCTCTTTTGTGCAGCACTTTGGAAACCTTGTGTTTATTGAAATCGTGCTATATAAATAAAGTGGATTGGATTGGATTGGATGTATATATACTGTATATATGCTTATACACACAACTATATAGATTTACATATACATATGTGTGTAAATAAATACATCTACATACATACATGTAAACTACTATATACATACCTACACAAACACATCAGGCAAAAATCCACAATTACACCCTTGTACATCAGCACTAATAGTCAATTATCTTAAATAATAATGTTATTATTTGCTGTGTTTCTACAGGCAGCTGTTGTTCTAAGTTTGACAGAAAGGCCTTTAATTGCTGAGTTGAAAGAAATAGAGAAATTCTGATATTTGAAATACTCCCAATAATTACCCTCATTGTCACTGTTTTTCTGTGGATGCTATCTGCTACCTGTGGATTTTCTGTGGATGTTATGTTATGTGCTTCCCCTTTTCTGATTCCTGATCCTCCACGGACGGGTTGGTCGTTGGATCGCCAACTTGAAGAGGGAGGATTTGCCATCGAACTTCTGGCCAGAGAAAAAACCCGTAATATGTAGCCAACATTTGGAAGAAGAATGTTTTCAAGATGACTTGGATAATAGCGCGTTGTGACAAACACCAGATACAGCACTGGGACTTGATCAACAGCCGATACCGCACCGTGACAATGTCACTAACCAGTAGGTGGCAGTAGAGTTCTTTGACAAACATGGATGCCTCCAGTAAAGCACATTCACATGAAAATGACTCTGAATTAAAAAAAAAACACCAAGAATAAACACGGCCTCCAGAAAAACATGAACCCAGAGAGTCTATGGAAACCGGCAGACCAAACCAGCGCATTCAGCTTGGCAAAGAACTCATGCTCTTCCTCAACACTGAAGTCCTCAGACATTTTTCTTTCGTTGTTTCTTTCTTTGCACAGGTAAACAGCACATTTCTTCTTCTACGCTTGCATTATCGGCAGAGCAGACGCTGAATGCGCACTTTCATCTGGTTTGGTCTGCCGGCTTCCGTAGACTCGTGAACGCGCTTTCAGGAAATCCTATACACTACTGTTTATGCTCTAAAAACATTCTAAATGACTTCGTTTCCAGTAAATTCTGGACGCTACCCACTCAGGACACTTGGATTACATTGGACGAGCAGTATGGAGGAATATTGACACGTTTTTTGTGGACTTTTATGGACCTTTCTGCCTCGGGCGCCATAGACCTCCATTATTGGAATGTCAGCAGACAGCAAGAAGCCTCCCAGATCTCCAGATGCATTTGAGATATCAAAAAAGTACTCCAGAGTGTTGTTCAGCATGGGGGTGAGTAGAAAATGAAGGCTAATCATGTTTTGGGTGTACTATTCCTTTAAAGTGCATCCCAAAGCCAGATACAGTCCAATACTCCATTCTTTGGCCACATCAGACCCTCCTAAAGCTTCTCTTAGACCCCCCTCCCCGGGTGTCCATGAGGACCCACCTGAACTGATCGTATCCCACTCTCTGGCTCACGGCCCTCAGCTTGGCTTGGTTCTCCCGCTGGTATCTTCTCTCAGACTCCACCGCCCCCTGCAGCTCCTTCTCCAGCGCGGAGAAATCGATGATGTCCCGCTGTGACATCACAGCCCCTGATGAGAAGGTAGCTCTGCTCAGTTCAGGTTGAAACTTACATTAAACAGAAGGATTTTCAGAGGAACGTCGATGATGGAAAAGTTACAGCTGAGACATTTTCTATTTTACATATATAACCTACATGTTTACATTTCTTGTCTTCATGTACTGAAATAAAATCCACCCATAACATGTTCTCCTCATTCTTTCTCTCAGCTGTACTCATAAATAAGACACTTTTTCTGATGTTTCAACTCGAAATAAAATAAATATGACAGCAAGACAAACTATTACATATCATATCATTTCTTATTCCACTTATTTCATTATTCTCTGTTGCTAACTGATCAAACAAACGTATAACTTGTCATAAAATAAACAATTATTATTACAAAGTTGAAGTTTTTAGCTGTGATCGTATTTATTATTATTTAGTCACATACAGTCATATTCAAATAACTAAACATATTAGTAATAAGTTCATTTATTTCAGTAATTTCATCACTCAGTTAAGCACATTTATTCATAATAAACTGATATATTCAAGCTTTTTTTAATCATGGCGTGTATTTTCTTAGAGTTTTTAAAAAAATAACAACATTAAAATTTTGAAAATTACATCAGATCAATAAGAATATTGCAAATATAGAAATGTGGGGATTAATAAAAGGTATATTTAATACCTGCTCAAATATTTATATTCTCTAAGGCAGCTTTTAATCTGACAAACAACCTCATAGGAAAACTGATTTTAATTTATGCAATATGATTTAATTTGCTACTTGATGCCAGAAATAGCACAAAAAACTCTCAGTGTTTAACACCTGTACACCTTTTCATTCCATATAACATATTTATGTCACGAGGAAGACATTAAAACATTTCAGCACCCAAAATGAATAATGCAATATTTCAATTTTTTCATATGAAGTCATTATATTCATTTAAAAAAATATAACTTAATGATTTAATTATTTAATTTATCCTTTTAAATGTATTATTAATTATTTAAAGGGAGATTTAAACTAAATATTTAGCTTTCAAACTAGATATTTAACAAACTAAGCATTTAGTTTGGAAAATAAATATTTACTTAAAATAATAAATATTTGGTTTGGAAAATGAATATTTAGTTTACTGACAAATTTTTAACTAATAATTTAAATATTTAGTTTGGAACTTTGATTTTTATAAATGAATGAATGTTATCGTGGAAAAAATAACACCGCTATTTTCTTTTAAAAAGCGTTAAAAAACAATAATATTGCTACTAAATTTTAACTGCTATACTTTATAAACAGCACCCCTTATTTTAGTTTATTTTATTAATTTGTTTGTTTTTATATTGGTGTTTATGGAATCCTGTTTTCTGTATGAACCAGTAGATGTTAAAAACAAATCTCCATTTCTGGATTGTTGGATAATAAAGTTATCTTATCTTTCTCTATAACCAGATTTCTGTGATTAATCATATTTATGTGTTTAAAGATATTAATGTCACTTAGGAACAGGCAAAAACAAACACATGAGTCTCTGATGCTGCTTTTATTACATTATATCTCTGGTTAACAGGATTTATTAAAATCAAATGTTTGTATTTAAACCAACATGAAATCATCATGGTTCTAGTTTGTGGTTCAGAAACCTCTGCTCTAAATCACACCAGTTTGGACTTCATCACACTCATCTTTAGTGAACTTTCATGACTCAGTAAATAACTTTTTTAGGCACAGATTGCAGAAAGGAGCATCAGTCATGGAAATAAGATACAAAAATAAAGCAAAACACAATTTTTTTCTGAGAAATTTGGAGAGGAGAGAAGAACAGCAGTCAAGTTTGCATTAGGAAGCTGGATTATGGATCACCTACTGGAGCTTTTTTGACTCTGGATCGTATCAGGACCTTCCGGTTGGCAGCGGTGGGTGAAAGGATCAAAACCAGTTTATAGAGTCAGAGGAGCTGTGATAATTTCCACGAAAACAAACGACGAACTGCTCCTGGGACAACGCGACCGTGTCCAGGTGAGTTAAGCCTCGGAATCAACAAAGCGTTTCCATGGTGACCTGTGTTCCCCTCTGATGGCTGCGGTCTGTGCTTCCACCTGGTGGCTAAATGGAAGAACTGCAGCACCCTGGCTGTAAATGAGGAGAAAGTCCAAACCTCTTTAGTCATGGCAGGTAAAACTCTTCAGCTTGATTAACATAAGTTTTATTTTTTTCACTTCATGTGGTTTGACTTGTAGAGAATGAAAAGTTAAAGATTAATAGCGCTACATGTTTAGTTTGCCTGACATTAACACATTTATATTTCAGTTTAAAATGACTTTTTTCTCAGAATTCTGTGAAAAAAGTCAGAATTCTGACTTTTTTCCCCATATCAAACTGAAAGAAAATGTAAAAATCAGTTAACTTTTATTTATTTTTTTCAGTGGCCCTCTTCCATACATTTACTAGTGGTTCCTAGAATTTCTAAAAGTAGAATGGGAGGCAGATCTTTTAGTTCTCAGGCTCCTCTCCTGTGGAACCAACTACCAGTTTTAGTCCGTGAGGCAGACACCCTGTCTACTTTTAAGGCTAGGCTTAAAACTTTCCTTTTTGATAAAGCTTCTAGTTAGAGTGGCTCAGGTTATCCTGATCTATCTCTATAGTTCTGCTGCTATAGGCTTAGACTGCTGGAGGACATAGGGACCCCTATTTTATAAGACGCTTCCGTAGGTTTGACTTGTAGAGAATGACTGTAAAGATTAGTAGCGCTACATGTTTAGTTTACCTGACATTAGCACATTGATATTTCAGTTTAAAATGGGAAAAAAAGTCAGAATTCTGACTTTTTTCACAGAATTCTGACTTTTTTCTCAGAATTCTGTCCATCGTTTTACTAACTGCCTTTACATAAATACATAAATTCAACATAATCTAAACCAAACACAGTAGAAAATTGTTGCCTCCTCTCATTAACAGCACCTGAACAGAACCATGGTTGACCTTAAATAACCCCATCTGACAGTTGGAAACTCAAAATGAAAAACGCCCCCTGGTGGTGATAAACACAGGAAAGGACAAATGGCTCCTGCAGGAACATTGAAGAAGAGTTGAAGGAATATAAATACCTCGATGTTCACCTTGAAAACAAGCTGGACTGGAGATGCTGTTAAACTTTATACAAGAAGGAACAGAGCAGCCTCTGCAGGAAGCTTCCTTTGGTGTTTGCAACAAGATGCTGCATTTCTTCTGTAAGTCTGTTAAGCAGAGTTTAATCTCTTCTGCCATCATCTGTTGGGGTAAAAGCATCAGAGTCAGTAAACAAATAAAAAGGCTGGTTCTTTCTGGACCATCTGGAGATGTTGATGCTAGAATGATTTTTCACAAAATGAAGGATATTATCAATGAACCTGGACATCCCCCTAATTAGACTGTGATATCTGATATCTATCTGATCACGGCTTAGACCTGTGGTTCCCTACCTTGTCCCTCAGGGACCTCTGTCCGGCATGTTTTAGGTGTTTCCTTATTGCATCACACGAGAAAAGAAAAGATGATTAACAGGCTTCTGCAAAACTTAATTGCAAAAAAAGTCCCTCATTTGAATCAGGTTTGCTGGAACAGAGACATATCCCTGAGAAGCAGAGTTGGGAACCATTGGCTTAGATGACAGATTATGGATAACCCGGATGAAACATTTGAAATCAAATCTATCTAATTATCATGTTGTTTCATAAAGCAGCTAAATTCAAACTATAAATCTGCAAAATATTTAAAAGTTTCTTCACCATGAAGCTGCGCTCACCGGTAATCAATGGGTTGTCTCATTTCACACATCAACATATATATGTAAGGAATTTGAGGATTGCTGCAAACATTTCAATAGAACTGGGACATAATGGTGCGTGGTGGATGCTCTGACTATACTGGAGACTTTATAAATGGGAGAAATTGGCGGGAACACATTTTTAGGAGTTATTAATGTTTCCTGACATCATCATCAGTTGACCAGACTCCATAGAACAGGCTTCCTGAGTTCCGGCTCTGAGGAGTGGTCTCCTTAACCTCTAACGTTTCTCTGCTTCCACATCTGAGTCAAATTGCTGAATTACCTCCTGTTCATGCTGACAAGTTCTCCACAGTCCCATTAATGATCAGAATATTTAATTGAGGTTGAGGCTGAGATACATCTAAAAGCTGCAGGACACCGGACCTTGAGGACGTCACCTAGGAATCCTGCCATGGATTAGCCTCGTGAGACCATCCTGATCTCGCGAGCTTTCAAGGTTTCACTTGCAGATCAATCTGGAGACTCTCAGTTGAAGAAAATTTGGAGCCGTTCACCAAACGAACGTCCAACCAGCGTTGGCTTTGAGGCGGGTTGAGGTGTGACGCAACGAGAAGCGCGACAGTTCAGTCTAAAGAACATGGCGGCTTCAGCCGATGAAACTAGCCTTAGCGTGGCTATCGAGCAAGTTTTATCGGAATTACAGAGTATTTCTTCACTGAAAGAAGAGCAAAACACTGCTCTGGAGGCTTTTCTCAGAGGAAAAGATGTTTTTGCTCTTCTCCCGACTGGTTTCAGCAAGAGTTTGATCTATCAATTGGCTCCTCTTCGTCGTCGCTCTGTTAGCACGTCATATGCTTCGTTGATCTGATTGGTTTATTTGGCCCGTCTATCACCAACATAGGCCAATCAGCTAACCAGTATTTTCGCCCCTTCCCAAAATTACTTCAACGGAAGGTTTCCAGATGGATATGCGGAGCAAACCCATCTGGCGGAGTCAGGTTAACCATTGATGTGCTCTCAGATGAGCTCTTTGGGGAGTGCTAGTGGTTGGGGTGCTGCGCTTGGATCCCAGAGGTTCTGAGTTGAAGCCCCACACCAACGGACTGCCACTCTGAGTCACTGAGTAATTGTAATTGTAATTGTGACAGTGTAATGACAATAGGTTTGAATTCTTCTTCTACTATTCTTCTTCTTTTGGATCCACGTGCTGAGCTGGGTCCAGTATTGGAGAGACTGAGTGAAGGTCCCATTGATCTCAGCTTTGATCTCCACCTTGACTTGAACAGGATTTCAAACCTTTGTCTTACACTGACTGAAAAAATCAATTTAAAAAATATCTAACATCTTTATAATAATTGGACACAGCAATAATCCTGAGTTTTACAGTTTACTTTATTTCTAATAAAAGTCAGTAAAATTCCCTCTTATTTACAGAAACTCTGTATATTCCATATTTACCTTGTTCTGTGTCTCTAATACATTTAAACAGTATAAAACAAACAGATAATGTACAGAAGATCCGTAACAAAGTTCACTGCAGCAGAAATATTATCCTGGAAAACTCCACCTTATTAAACCATTTGATAGATGATGTTCTCTCCATGTTTGGGAGTCCCTCAGGGTAGCACCCTGGACTTTCATGAGGCTTCTCAGTGTCACATGAGCCATTTTTCACTCTTTGAGAGCATTACCAAGATCCTGGATCTGTTTTAACACAATGACTGGATTATTCATCTGAATCCTGAAATAATTCAGACTTTTGTGACTTAATCTTTGAAAAAATAAAATAAAATGCAGAAGGTTTGGTTGGAAGTGAAAAAAGTTCTGTTCCAATGTTGTTGCAAGCAAAGCAAAAGTGTTGTAAATGGAAATTTGAGGGGGGGGGGGGGCTTAGTTATACAAATTGTATTCTTTTAAATTGTGTTTTTTAATCACATTATCTCCACTTTCAGCCAAATAAAAACTGTGGTTCTTAACCATCAAACGCGTCGTTGTTATTCCAGCAGACCAATAAAAATGCATCTTCACTCCAGAGGAAGACCCGCCCCTGGTAGTGTAGGGAATATCATCTATAAAATGTTAATTGAAGAGAAATCAAATGATAAAACTTAATTTAAAAAAGAGAAATTTGACAGCATTTCATTTAAAAATATAAAACCTGTAAATATTTAAAATATGAAAATCATGAAATAAATTGTCTGGCAAAACTCAAATCTGAGAAAATAGAAAAGTTTTTCTCACAATCTTTTTTTGATGATTAGGTTTTTTTAAAGTGTCGTATCTGGATTGCTTGTTTTTGTTTTGTTTTTTCAAATTTTCATTTACAATAATATTTCTTGCTAGCAACCATAACGGAACAAAATTCACAGACGGATGGAACATGTGTTGCTCCTCCTAGAGAACATTTAAAAATTAAATTAGAAGATTTCCCAAATAAGCCTCAGGACAATACTGGGAGATCAGGAAATTAAAATTCAAGGTCTAAGTGGAAACGTTCCTCCTGAAGAAGCAGGTTTATCACAAAGTTTGACATTTGATTCATGCTGTGAAATGGTTAATTCCTGAAAATATCCATTTCAGAATACGGAAAAGGCTGGACTAACTGAGCTGCAGACGGAGAGCTTCACATGCAGCAGATGAACCACATTTAGATTTTAAAACAAGATCAAACCAAACTTTTACCAACCTCTCAAAATTCATATCAAACCTGCAGTTAGTTTGAGCTTTTAATAAAATAGAGAATAACGTCTAAAAGGGATGATCTCCTTTGCTTCACTGGAAAAATACTACAAGCAAATCTCCTCCTGATGGATAACTGGTGATCAGGGTTTAGACCTTTCAGCAAACAGGAACGTTCGGACCTTAAAGGATCAGTCAACCTGCTGAGGATCAGATCCAGTTAACACTGGTTTGAAAGCTTGATTCTGGTCAAAAAACCTCAGTTTAAGATGTTTCATTCAGACGTAGGAAGGACTGCGTTCAGAAATCCAAGCTTCCTTAAAATGAAACAAAGGTTCCAGCCCAGTCAGGATCTAATGTTGGCTCCTCCTCTGCTTTGTTCTGCAGCTCTAATAGGATCGTAAACAGGAAGAAGAACAGAAACGTCTCTGTAGATAGAAATCCTCTCTGCATCCGGAGTTACACACGGCTCTACAGTAACCTGGAAATAAATACATAAGGTACCTGGACAGCAGGAATTCTTAGACCTACAGGATCCGTCAATGAAATAACCCGAAC